AACCAGATAAATCTACAACTCCAACTGAAATTATATCAAGCAGTCCTGAGACACCATCAATACAATCAAGCACTGCAACGACAGATAAATCTACAATTGTAACTGAAATAACGTCAAGCAGTCCTGAGTCATCATCAATACAAATCAGCACTGCAACGACAGATAAATCTACAACTGCAACTGAAATAACGTCAAGCAGTACTAAGTCATCATCAATGGGGTCCAGCACTACAATGACAGATACGTCTACAAGTCAAACTGGCATTTCTACAAGCAGTACTAAGTCATCATCAATCGGGTCCAGCTCTCCAATGACAGATACATCTACAAGTCAAACTGACATTTCTACAAGCAGTACTGAGTCATCATCAATAGGGTCCAGCACTCCCATGACAGATACATCTACAAGTCAAACTGACATTTCTACAAGCAGTACTGAGTCATCATCAATTGGGTCCAGCACTACAATGACAGATACATCTACAAGTCAAACTGACATTTCTTCAAGCAGTACTGAGTCATCATCAATTCTTTCCAGCACTTCAATGACAGATACGTCTACAAGTCAAACTGACATTTCTACAAGCAGTACTAAGACGTCATCAACAGGGTCCAGCACTACAATGACAGATACATCTACAAGTCAAACTGACATTTCTACAAGCAGTACTGAGTCATCATCAATTCTTTCCAGCACTTCAATGACAGATACGTCTACAAGTCAAACTGACATTTCTACAAGCAGTACTAAGACGTCATCAACAGGGTCCAGCACTACAAGGACAGATACATCTACAAGTCAAACTTACATTTCTACAAGCAGTACTCAGTCATCATCAATAGGGTCCAGCTCTATAATGACAGATACGTTCTACAAGTCAAACTGACATTTCTACAAGCAGTACTCAGTCATCATCCATAGGGTCCAGCACTCCAATGACAGATACGTCTACAAGTCAAACTGACATTTCTACAAGCAGTACTGGGTCATCAACAATCGGGCCCAGCTCTCCAATGACAGATACGTCTACAAGTCAAACTGACATTTCTACAAGCAGTACTGTGTCATCATCAATAGGGTCCAGCTCTCCAATGACAGATACATCTACAAGTCAAACTGACATTTCTACAAGCAGCTACTGGGTCATCAAACAATCGGGTCCAGCTCTCCGATGACAGATACATCTACAAGTCAAACTGGCATTTCTACAAGCAGTACTGGGTCATCAACAATCGGGTCCAGTTCTCCAATGACAGATACGTCTACAAGTCAAACTGACATTTCTACAAGCAGTACTGGGTCATCAACAATCGGGTCCAGCTCTCCGATGACAGATACGTCTACAAGTCAAACTGACATTTCTACAAGCAGTACTGAGTCATCATCAATAGGGTCCAGCTCTACAATGACAGATACGTCTACAAGTCAAGCTGACATCTCTACAAGCAGTACTCAGTCATCATCAATAGGGTCCAGCACTCCAATGACAGATACGTCTACAAGTCAAACTGACATTTCTACAAGCAGTACTAAGACGTCATCAACAGGGTCCAGCACTACAATGACAGATACATCTACAATTCAAACTTACATTTCTACAAGCAGTACTGAGTCATCATCAATAGGGTCCAGCACTACAAGGACAGATACGTCTACAAGTCAAACTGACATTTCTACAAGCAGTACTCAGTCATCATCAATAGGGTCCAGCACTCCAATGACAGATACGTCTACAAGTCAAACTAATATTTCTACAAGCAGTACTCAGTTATCATCAATAGGGTCCAGCACTTCAATGACAGATACATCTACAAGTCAAACTGACATTTCTTCAAGCAGTACTGAGTCATCATCAATAGGGTCCAGCTCTACAATGACAGATACGTCTACAAGTCAAACTGACATTTCTACAAGCAGAACTCAGTCATCCCATCAATAGGGTCCAGCACTCCCATGACAGATACATCTACAAGTCAAACTGACATTTTCTTCAAGCAGTACTGAGTCATCATCAATTGGGTCCAGCACTCCGTGACAGATACATCTACAAGTCCAAACTGACATTTCTTCAAGCAGTACTGAGTCATCATCAATAGGGTCCAGCTCTACAATGACAGATACGTTCTACAAGTCAAACTGACATTTCTACAAAGAGAACTCAGTCATCATCAATAGGGTCCAAGCACTCCCATGACAGATACATCTACAAGTCAAACTGACATTTCTTCAAGCAGTACTGAGTCATCATCAATGGGGTCCAGCACTCCAATGACAGATACATCTACAAGTCAAACTGACATTTCTTCAAGCAGTACTGAGTCATCAGCAAATGGGTCCAGCACTCCAATGACAGATACATCTACAAAGTCAACTGACATAACTTCACACAGTCCTGGGTCATCATTAATACAGTCAAGCACTACAGTGTCAGGTCCAGTGACAACTGAGACCACTACAAGCAGTACTTCCGTAACACATTTTCCAACTATGAAGCCAGATTTAGGTATTGTTTTTATCCGTTGATGGTTTACCCTTTGTTTATTGATTGATAAATATTTGATATCAAATTACAATGTTTTTGTCAATTTTACCCCTTTTGATGCAATATATTATTATTATATAGAAATTAATATGTTTTGTATTATTGTAATATTTACATTATTCTGCCTCTCCCAAGCGAGATGTCATGTGAAACCACTTTTCTTTTAATATTGTTCCGTGAAGCTTTTTTTAGTGCAAATAAAAGTTCTTCTTCTTCTATCTTAATGAACCAGATTTCTATATTTAATCATAATGTCAACCATGTGAATTAAATCTATACGTATAAAATGATATATACGTTTTCAGGAGTATGAAATCAGTGTTTGAAATCAACATTGTTAATAAATTTCGTGATTATATTTGTTGAACAGATATATTTTTTGGTTTGCTTTGGTGACTTCAAGCAAATGACCATACAAATGGTACATGTCCATACAATACAAAAATGATTAAATGATTGAGACATAAACATAATCTAAAATATATTTTATTGTTTTAAATGAGTGTAGATTAAGTAAAAAATGATTGAACGAGTTAAAAAAATCTTATTATGCGAGCTTTGGTGAGCGTTATATTGTTTTATTCATTGAGTTCATTAAATTTAGTATTAAATCTACAGAAATTCAATTTCTATTTATCACATATCTAAAATAAGAACGGTTTACAGTTAAAAAGTCAATTTTCGTTGACGCGTCTTTAGTATAGAGCCAACATTAGCGCGTTTTTATTAAATGGTTTTATAACACTCGTGCGCCATGGGTAATGTGATAAAAGAAGTTATAAAAACGATAAGTGAACAGTTAATTAAAAATGTTTAAGGCACCAATAGTACTAGTATTAAACAAAACTGTTTAATTATACCGAATTGCTGTTGTTTAAATTGCTGACTAGCTGGCTGGCTTTCAGACTGGCTTTGGCTAAGTGACTAGAGAACGGCTAGCTTGCTGAAAAAGAGGTTGGCTGACAAAATGCTGACTACACGGCTTACTGGCTAAACGGTTTGCTATCTGGCTAAATGACTGACTGACCAAATTATTGTGTAGCTGTTAAGCATACACCTAATTCAAATACAAGTCATATTACACAGAGCATTTTAATTCACCTGGCTTGCTGGCTGGCTGGCTGACTGACTAAATAGCTAGCTGACTGGCTAAATGACTGGCTGATTAAATGACTTGCTTATCGAATTGCTGGCTTACCAAATGGCTGATAAGATTGCTGAATATCGATATAAATAGCTTGTATCATTTTTTGGGGACCTTTCTGTTGAAAATGTGAGTTATATCGTATAATTAACATGCACATTGCGTTAACTGGAGTGCAGGTATTAGTTACCCGCACTGCAGAGCATGCCCATTGATTGGGTCATTTTGTCTGGCAACGACGACGGGGAAAGGGAAAGCGATAGAAATATCATATTCAGATGCTCGTTCATTGGTTCCTTTTTTCGGGGTTTCATATTGTGACATCAAAAACGTGTTTTTATGTCTGACTATGATATTAAAGAGAAAGAACATCAAAACACTCGGCAATCTGATTAATACTCGGGGGCTACGACCCCTCGTACTCGTGTTTCGATGCTCTTTCTATTACTAACCGCACTGTTTATACTTGTTTATACAGATAAAGCAGTGTATATCTTCACATTTGAGTTAACCATTGACGGCAACTTTATAGATGATTTAAAGGATGATGATAACTTTATAACTTCTTTGAATGGCACGGTAACGACAGTTTATATAATCTTGTCTTAAGCTTTCATTTTCTCATAGAAAAACAATTATGTTTCAAACTAAGTATTTGAGTAATTTCATTTTGGAATAGTACTTCATTTCACTAATAAGCATCTTTAAAACAGCGTCCCGAGAGCTATTTATAGAGTGTCAGGGACATTTGTTTCTAAAAATAAGATCGGGTAACACTAATTTGAATTAAAATGTACCGAGGGCTTTCTTATTCATTTTTGAATGTTTTTGTTGTCAGCAAAATTTATTTTCCACCTTAATTTTTTTTCGAATTGTCAATTATACGAAATGATTTGACTAAAGATTACATATTTAACCTTAAGAAAAGCTGAAGGCCGCTGTAATTTGTTCATGTAATTATTATTGGATATTTTATAAATTATTTCTTTTCATATGCTTTCTAATTCGTCAACAAATTCTTGGTCCATTCAATTGTTGCATAATTTATTCAAACTTTCATAATACAAAACTATTATCGGACCTATGGTTATATCAATTTCATTTAAAAAAACATAATTCTTTATATAATTATATTATTATGTTTAGCTCTTTGAAAACATTTTTGGACAAGCACCTCGTGTTAGCCTTAATTTCACATTTAGGTAAGTAAAATGTTAAAATATCAGTTTTATTTATCCACTCGATTAATGACGAGTACATGTATATGCACTTTGTGTTAAAGAATGGCTTTTATAATCATGTAAGTGATCTTCGCTCTTCTTCTAAAAAAACTGTTATATATTTTCAACCTGTTTAACATCTGTACACAATTCATTGTTTAACAGATATTCTAGGTTATATCTACATGTATATCATTTATTTGAAATGGACATTGTTACTTTTATTGATTTAATACTTTAAATGTACTTCTCAAAATTTGCTAAGGATCACTTTTTCTACAGTACGTTACTTTTTTGCATTTGTATAAATGTGAAAATTTATTAAAATGAATTAAATATAATTAGTTAGGAATTGATTAATATGAAAAAATTGACAATGGCAATGTTCCTTGACGTGTGCTGGACGAAAATTAACATTTTGGAGATCACATAGTGGAATAAAAAAATCTTGCAAATCAGGAAATGGTTGGCGAAGTGTGTATAATATCGAGTATGATGTCCGCGGGCATAAATGACGGCCTGGCATCGCCGCCGCATGCTGCTGATGAGCAGCCTGCGGACCTTGAGAGGAGGAATCTTGGCCAATTCCTCTATGTTTGCTATCTTAGCTCCTGAACTGTTGTTGGTGGGACGTGGCATGAAGAAATGGCTTTCGGCAGCATATCCCAAGCATGCTTAATTGGATTAAAATCCGGGCAGCTCGCTGGCCAATCCATGCGGACTATAGTTGCCTCCTCAATATATCGGTTTGTGATGTGGGCTCCGGGTGCACGGGCGTTGTCAAGAATGAAATCAGGGCGGACTGCGCCATCGTTATTGCGTACATGGACGTCTTAGATTTTATTGACGTACCTTACTACCGTCAGTGTACCGTTTTCAATGATGTGTAGGTCCGTTTTCCACTGAGCGCTTATTCCCGCCCACACAATGACTGAACCCCCGCAAAAACGGTCGTGTTCTGCAACGCATGCTAGAGCTAAGCGTTCATTTGGACTTCTTCAAACCCTAGCCCGTCTTTCCGTGAAGTCCACATAAAACTTGACTCATCAGAGGAAAGGACCGGTTTCCAATCATTAACTTTCCATGTGACATGAGTGTGTGCCCATGCAAACGCTCTTGAATATGCCATTGGGTCAAAGGAATGCAAATTGCTGGCCTCCGTGACCTCAACCCAGCATCATACAACCTGTTTCTAACAGTTTGTGAGCTTATACGCACACCAGTTGCATTCTGGAAGTCGTTACGTAAGGTCGTAGCGTTCGAGAACCATTGGTGCCTGGCCTGAAGGACAAAAGATTGGTCCTGGACTTGAGTCGTTGAACGAACCTGACCTCTGGCGTGGCCCTGCAAGATATTTCCAGTCATTTGGAATCGGTTCCACATCCTGGAGACAACGCTCTGGGATACCCCAAGGACATAGGCAATGTTCCTTTGTGAACGGCCAGCCTCCAACATTCCAATACCCCTGTTCATCTTATCTTGACTAAGACGACGTCTAACCTGTTGATTTGACAGAGTTTGTTAATTTCGAACACAGTTTTACAATAAAACGAGAGAAGTCTTGCTGCCTGTACACGTTTAAGTGAAAGCACGTGGCCATAAAACACCAAATTTCCATTAGTATGTTTTTCTACGTGCTATTCGTGCAAGGTGTACATGACAAATCGATAAGTAAAGTACACGATTATGAGGTCAGGTGTATCTTTAGCGAAAATACGATTTTAATATGATGATAATAGGACTGAAATATGCAATGTCAAAAGGTGATCCTTAGCAAATTTTGAGTTGTATATTATTGGTAGCATAAAATGAAGCTTTTCACTTTCGAATAATTATTATGCATAAGGAAAATGTTTGTTAAAACAATACATGTACTGTTAAAACTGTAAGGCGGGTTACGTAGCGTTTAAAAACATTCTTGTAAATACGGTTTACATAACTTAACAGAACCTAAGACTTGTTTCTTGCAAACAGATAAACAATTTTATCATGCATGTCAAGTGAAAATTATAATACATTTATCCCGAAATCGAAAAAATAACATGATTGTGTCACCTGCTGGACAGTGGCTACAACATGCAATTGGCTATCATGAGACGACACATGTGATCATTCGCTCTTGTTTTAATTAAATTATTTATTATTCCCCCTTGCTAATGTCGATCGGTCTGTCGGTTTGTCCGTCGGAAGACAACATGGTTTCCGTTTAAGAACTATTTGTCACAAAGTCTTCATATTTCACATGGGGTCACTTGGTCAAAGGTCAAGATTACAGGGGCCTTAAATGTCAGAATGGTTTCCTCTGATCATCTTGAAATTGTTCATCACAAAGTCTTCATATTTCACACAGCGATTAGCCATAACTAGTAAACCTCTATTGATTTTGGGTCACTAGGTCAAAGGTCAAGGTCTTAGGGGCCTTAAATGTCATTATGGTTTCTGCTGATTATCTTGTTAACTCTTTATCACAAAGTCTTCATATTTCTCATACTGATTAGTCATAACTGGTAGATGACCCCTATTGATTTTTGGGTCACTAGGTCATAGGGGCCTTGAATGTTTGTATGGTTTCCGCTCATTATCTTTGTTACCATTTATTACAAAGTCTTCATATTTCACATTCTGATTGGCCATGGCTAGTAGATGACCCAGATTGATTTTGGGATCACTAGGTCAAAGGTCAGGGGCCTTGATTGTTAGAATGGTTTTCGCTCATTTTCTTAACTATCTACAAAGCTTCAAATTTCAATGTGATTGGTCAAAAATAAGATGCCTTTTGATTTTGGGGGTCACTACCCAAAAGACAAGGTATCGGGGGTCTTAAATGCAGAATTTTTCCGCGTATTCCCTTGAAAACTATTCCCCAAAAGTCTTATTTTTCTATATTGTTTTTAAAAGTATTAGTGACCCATTCAGTCAAGGGGGGGGGCCCTTAAATTTAGAAGGTTTTCGCTTTTAACATGAAAACTGTTGATCACAAAGTCTTCATATAACACATATTGAATAGCCATATGTAGAAGATGACCCCTATTGATTTTGGGATCACTAGTTCAAACAGCAAGGTCACAGGGGCCTAAAATGTAAATATGGTTTCTGTTATTACCTTGATAACTTTTTATCACAAAGTCTTCATATTTCAAATACTTATTAGTCATAATAGGCTCACTAGTTCAAAGGTCAAGCTCTCTATATTTCACATATTGGTTGGTTATAGCTATTAGATCATTTGTGTTCTTTTTCCCATAACTGAACGCTTCCATGTACCAATTTATGGCAAGTTTCTATAACCAAATTACCAATAATGCGAGTCAAGGGCTAGAAAAAGGGGCATATGTGTCGTTAGACATTTCTTGTTAACTTGTTTGTGTATTTGTGTGTTTGTTTGCCTACCTTTTTATTTATTTTTTTTTTATTTATTTACAAAAAACGAATCTGTAATCGTAAAATGTATCAGTGTCTTTGAAGTGATTGTGGTAGGCAAGGAATCATATTCAAAGAGTACTGATCGATCCTGGCTCAGTAAAAATTCGCTCAAATCAACAACAAATTTCATTTAATATTTCTATTATAACTAACAAACACTATACGTACACTATTCATATTTCCTTATTTACAAGAAACATTATACATGTAGTTGTATTTCCATACACAAAGTTTATTTACTGTTCCATATCTGTAACCAACAATTTGTGTTTAAATAATTATACTGCACACTCTGTGATCCGGTAGTTATTCGGACGGACTCCGAAGGGTATTCACCCGGTCACCCGGTAAAAACACTTGCCATCTTCTTTCTGGACACCGGTCGATATTCTTAAGTTAATCGGCAGAGTATCGTACGTAAATGTCCGATTGCCTTCTCTTATCCGGCCGGTTTGCAGCCATCGTACAGTGACTAAAGTACTAAGTATACAGACAAAAGCCGTGCGGTATCCTGGGTTAACTTGCCCTCTTCCCCTCTGACTTCTTTTTCACCTTTCTTAACTAGCTGTTTTGGAAGGCATATAACACCTTGAAAGCAAAGATTAACAAGAAAGGGCGGAGTTCAACGAAGGAAACCTGACACAATCCAACAACAATGGACCGCCGACAAGGAGCCCAACTGGACACCAAACAAATCATGAGAGTGCACAGGGCAAAGCTAAGAAGCTTCTCTTTCTTCCAATGCTATCTAAGTGTTTAAGCACTTATACACGGAACCTCAATTTTAAGTCTCGACCAAAATAGGTAACAGAAATTTCAGTTGGCCAGCCCGGGAATCGAACCCACAATGTCGAGATTACAAGTCTAGCGATTTAACCGATTGAACTTTGCAGACTGGTTAACGAGAGAATGGTATTTGGTGATGGTGTATGTAATTTACCCTCTGGATCACGGCAGTTATCCAACTTGCCAGAACAGAGTTCAGTCACGGCATCGTTTCTTGGCAGTCTGTACAGTAATAATCTCCTTTACTTTAGCAAGGAATTGATAACCTCTGTACATCGGAAGTGAACTTTACCGTCCGAGAATTGAACACGGGTCGCCTAGTTCACAGTCCAACGCTTAACCTGTCGTAAGGTCTATTTAATTCTCCTAACGCTATCCTAAAGGGCACCTTAAGGCCATACGTGCAACATACTGCATATATCCGGGTTCCAGCCGGTAACCTGCCGAGTCGCCTTTAGTGGCAGCTGGGATACCGCTCGAAAACTGGAGGATTATTTGGCGCTCAGAATGTGAAAATTTTCACCGACATGCAACAGATACCAAAAGGTGTCCGGCTGGATATCAGAGGGTATTTCATCTTGTCTGCTGCGGTAAGCTCTCGATGTACCGGATGCCGCAAGAAAATAACTCCGTGCTTAACTTATCCGATTACCCGTACGGTGTCTCACCGGTGACTTGACACCGGAGGGTCACCGGCCGGAGACCTTAAAGATTTGGCAATTTCAGCCCGTTCAGACATCGGTACCCCATCTTAAACCTAATCGGAGTGTAATGTGACGCAGGTATTGTAGGCAGACATAAACATCATATTGTGACGTTCTTGCCTAAATTTCTGCTGGAGGAAATTCCCTGGTAATAATGAACATATAAAGTTGAATTGATACTTTATTCGCACAGGCATTACAGTACATGTGATATAATTTACGAAAAGCGTTAAAACTTTGATTTTATTACTTAGAAAATAAAACAAAATTTCTATATTGTAGAAAAGGCAGTATAATAGCAATAGTAAAATCAGAATTTGAGCTGGAGAAACTACAAGATAAAAATACAACTATCACAGAAGTCCTAGATATAATAGTTAACAATTCACTGGAAAATGCAAGTAATATAAAAACCACGCAAGGAGCGATTAAACATGCTGATTCTTTCATCAGTGGTTTAAAGAAGACAGCGGGTACGTTTAATCCTAGTTATCGTTAGTATGTGTTATTCCGGGCTGCGTTTCATAGAAACTCCTAAGAGTATCCTAAGTCCTAGGACATAAAATCAACTTTTAAACTAACTAAAAGCTGTTTCAATTGGTATCTTCTGACTGACACTGCTGACTTAAAATAAATGCACTCTCATGCGAAAAGTTAAGAAATAGAATGTGTAAATGTCCATCAGCATTGGTAATTTAGGAATTAAAAGAGTCATAACATAGGAGTCATAAGTTAGGACATTTTCTTTGAACGCAAAATTGTCTCAGTATTGGTCTAAAGACTGACACTTTCTATGAAACGCAGCCCAGTACTGGAATGATTTATTCAAAGAAACGATGGGCGTGTGAATTGAAATTAAAGCGTTACTGGAATGATCAATATGCTTGTAAATATTCTGTGATGAAGGCAAAACAGGCGGTGTAACCCTGTCGTTTAACACGTTAATTTATCAGATTAGTAATGCCGCCTGGTTTAATACATCGTCAAGAACAAATGTAAGAAACTTTACACGCATTCCTTATAGTACTGGTTGTTGGTACAGATCCGTTTTTTATCAGCAAACAGCTGCTTTATACACAATAGAACCAAAATGAATTATGTATAAATTAAACTAAACTTAACGCCAAGTACTTGGTTAATAAATACCTGTACATTTTTTTTTCTTTTTCTGAGTTGAAATCATAATATAAATTAAAGAATCATTTTAATCCTCGCACAAATGATACAAGATTAACGACAAAATCAATATAAACGTTTAAAAGGCTCATTATATTATAACATGGAGGAATATGTTTGTATAAGAAAAATCTCATCTAATCCTTTTAAGAGTTTGCCAGTTGCCTTGATGTTTGACAAAAGTTGTTTCCTTTAAACATAAAATTGTTATTTTCTTGGGTTTTATTTACAACTATTTTAGATGATGTTCAGAAACAGCTAGATCAGGATCCTTGTATATTGATAAATGCGTGCCATAAGTCATTTCTTTACACATGCAAAGACAGTAAAAACGTAAAGAATGGCACTTGCAAGCACAGATGTGACATAGAACCAGGTTTATGTGGTGAAAATGGGGTTTGCTTCTACGATATTGCAGATAGCGTCATAGCATGCAAGTAAGTTATTTTGTACTCATTGGTTTGTAACAGATCGATATCATTAATGGCGCGAAGTTAATTACGATGCGAGGTTTGTATTTACAGGAGATTAAAGTTATGAGGCATAGTTAGTAATGGCGCAAGGAAAATAATGACGTGACGTTAACAATAACGCGTGTTTCGTTGCGACGAGAGGTTAGTATTGGCATATTAGTTGGTTAGTTATGACGCGAGGTTAATAATGGTATGATGTTAGTTACGACACAACGTTGGTTATGTCGTGAGCGAGCTTAGTAATGGCGCGATAGTAAGTAATGACGCGACTTGAGTAATTTGCACGTGGTTAGTAATGACACGTATTTAGTTACGATGCGTGGTTAGTATTGACGTGAAGTTAGTTATGTAACGAGGTAAGTAATGGCGTTAGTTTCGTTGTGGCGCGATGTTAGTAATGGCGTAAAATAAGCTATGGCGCGAGGTAAGTAATGCCGTGAGGTTACTATTGGCGTGGGGTTAATAATGGCGCGAGTTTAGTTATGACGCGATGATAGTAATAGCGTGTGATTAGTTTTGATGCGAAGTAACTTATTGCGCGATGTTTGTTATGACACGGGATTAATAACGGCGCGGCATTGGTTATGGCGCTGGGTTAGAAATGACGTGTGGTCAGTTATGTTGCATGGTTAGCTATGGTGCAAGATTAATAATAGTTTGAGATTACTTATAACGCGAGGTTTGTAATTTGGTAGGGAAGTTATGATGCGAAGTAAGTAATGACGCGAGATGAGTTGTGGCGCGAAGTTAGTAATGACGCGAGGTAAGTTTTAGTGCGAGATCAGTAATGGCGTAAGGTTAGTTTTGGTGTAAGTTTAATTAATGCGCAAAATATGACGCAAGATTAGTAATGGCGCGAGGTTGATTATGGCGCGTGGTGAGTTATGGCGCGAGGTTAGTTGTGGCGCATGGTGAGCCATGGTTCAAGATAAGTAATAGTCTGAAGTTAGTTATGGCTTGAGGTTAGTCGCGCAAGGTTAGATATGGTTCGAAATTAGTAATGCCGCTGGGTTGGTTTTTACTCCAAAATGAAAGATATAAAGACGGTCACCTGAATAATGGGTTAATCTGTCGGCTTCTCAAATCATGAATAATAAGTTACAACCATGGTTTCTAAAAATAACAGCAGTAAAGGTTAGTTATCCAAACAGTTAGCGTCGTGACTGAAATTTGCCTTTTTTCAAATTGACACTCACTTTCACTTTAAGATAGTCTTACTGTCATGCTTTCCCGCCAAAAGAATTCAAACATCGGCCAAGATCGTAATAAATCGGTCATTTCCGGGGCGTTATTTTTCACAATCTTTGCTATTCAATAATTTGTAACCGTTTATAACCGGAATTTAGTAAATAGCTATAAAGGATGAGTGATTGTAAATAATCGTATGATTAAGGTTTTAATAAAAAAAAGTAACGTGCTTCCATATGGGCAGATGATAGAATTTTTTGCGGGAAAGCATTACAATAAAACTACCTTAATACAGCCTACTGAATATACACGTGAACAAATCAAAATATTCAAATACTTTTTGGGTTTATTGTTTATCCTCAAAAAAAACCATTTCAAATCCTTGTCAGAAAACGTTTGAAAACAATATCTAGCTAGTCTACAGGCGTTACATATTCCTTCATCATAAATGATTGTTCCGTGTCAGATGACTGTTATAATTTTCTGCTCTTTATTCTAACATTTGTTTTTATTTCGTATGCTCGCCTAATTTTCTTTACCGCAATACCACTCGATGCACGTGGCGTTTTCTGTGTTCAGAACTAAAATATTTCGTATTTTTAATTTAACAATTTTTTTTATATTTAAATTTTTACAGATGTAAAACAACTTCGTTTCATGTGTATCACGGTGTGCACTGTGAGGAATCGACAGCGACAAAAGAGTTTGTACTAGCTGTATCCCTCGGTGCCGGAGGTGGAATTATTCTGATATTTGGTTTGGTTATAACATGTTTATGCATCAGGCAAAGAATAAAAAAGAAAAAACATAATACAAGGTATTTAATGATTGGGTTAACGTCTGACTAACACAGTAGAGGTCATATGAGCCGTGTCATGACAAAACCAATGTAATGCGTTTGCGACCAACATGGACCCAGACCAGCCTGCGCATTCGCGCAGTCTGATCAGGATCCATGCTGTTCGCTTACAAACCCTATTACAAGTAGGGAAACTGCATGATAGCAAACAGCATGGATCCTGATCAGACTGCGCGGAGGCGCAGGCCGATCTGGATCCATGCTGGTCGCAAACCCTTTATGTTGGTTTTATCGTGACGCGGCTCATATGGCGACTTTCTAGCTTTACTGGTGTAGGAAGACTTTGTGAATTTTATCAGCTGGAAAGCTTCCACATATGAAAGAATCCCAGATTCCTGGTGGGATTTGAACCTACAGCGGTGAGGGGCGAGTGGTTTGAAGTCAACAATCTGTACCAATAACCACTCGGCCACGGACGCCCCCAAAGATAGGAATAATCGCGATACAACTTTAGGTTCTTATTACCGGAATTCACAATATTTATACTAATTTCATGTATAAATCACAACTGGGAAGAAGTCTGCCAAGATTACAAATATTTGGATCCGTAATCAGCATAATAGTCTAGATAATCAGGATTATTTATTCACAGTGAAAGACATTGTTAATCCTGATCCTGTTGAATCCGAAAGTTATAATCAAGGGGCAGGACGTGAAGTGGTTGCACACTTGGTTCAAGCGAGCGAATTGGTTGCAAACTTGACAAAATGGCAAACACGGCGTGATTTTTTGAAACGGGTGAACGAATTTTTGCCAGGCAAGTAGGTTTCTTTGTTATTTTGAAGTTCATTAGTATGTCTATTCCATAATGCAATATATATGCCACACTCGGTTAAAGGTTTCAGCATCCTAGATTCTGTTTTGAAGAAGTTATTGAAGATATAAACTGATCATGTAGATATTTTGAAATTTGACATGTGACTGTTCTGGTCGGTTTTTCTCCTAATTTATTCGAATTTGTAAATTTGAACTGCATTTAACAATAACAAAATATGTTTCTGTCAATGCTGTACAAATGGTTTAGTTCGCAAGTCCGAAGATAACATTCAATACACAAAAATATATTGTTCAAGCACATTTTGGTTGCAGACTTATACTTCAAGCATTTTTGGTTGCAAACTTATTCTTATTCTATTGAAATCCATAGTAAAACTTTGCAAAAGGATTGTAGTAGTTTATATTCATTAACCTATTTTCAATGGCAATTATTGACATTTATGTTCTTTTACTTGTTTTTGTTATACTTTCTTCTTTTACAACAAGTATGCACTTTATGTTTCAAATTACATGGTTCTCAGTTCAATACTATAACCATCAGTAAAAGCCTGCAAACAAAATAATAGCACATAGAAGAAAAATATTTATTGATACTTCAATTCTAAAATATGTCATCATATGTAAAATCGAATGAAAACTACATTCAAAACAAACGTATGTGAGAGTACTGCTGTATGTAAGTGAATTATTTTCATCATAAACAGAAGGACATGTGCACACATACGATGTTACTCGGCAAAATTTCCAAAGTTTATCAAAACCACAATAAATGTTATTTTGTTTGTTTCGTATGTAAAGATCAGCAGTTGCTTTAGACATAAAGTATGTAAAAGTACTTATTAACCAAAAGTTAAAATGAAATGCTTGTTTACAATATTTCGGATTTGATGTACATATCATATATGTCAATTGGTATTCTAAAAATTATTTTGACTATTAATAAGATCATAATATAACTGATATACGATTGGTAATTTATATTGACAAAACTACTTAAAGTCATTGTTCGAGGTCGGGAATTTGGAAGATGTTTCGATTGGTCAATAATAAGGAACAATTTAACCTTTTCCCTTATATAAGCGTGTTTCGACGGCTTTTTGCCCCCCCCCCCCTTTTGAGGCCTCAAACAGTGAAAAAATGCCCTATTTAGGCCACAAACACTGTTTTTCGTTTGAGAAATGTTGTTAAAAAAGTGACCACTTTTTCGGCGCCGTCCCCCATCCAAATATTACATCAGGGGGTTGCCAGAAGGGGGATGTGCCCCCTTCTGTTTGGGGGGTTAAGAGGGGGGCGGAGTCCCCCTCATCGCCAAGAAAATTTTGGACATGTGACAGGCTAAAATGGCCTCAGGTCGATCTTAGGGTAACTAATAACCGACGCTGAAAAGCATTTTACTCTATCTCAATTCATTGAGAAGTTGCAGCACTTTGAAATCAGTTTTGATGGGAAAAAACAATGCAAAATAGTGATTTTTGGCAATTTTGAGACGTCCCCCCGTGGCCATGGTAACAGGAAATTTACCATTGAGCATGCTGTTACAGAGGCTATGGTGTAGTCAACATTTGTGCCAAGTTTCATTAGTAGTGAAGCATTTTTCATAGTTTCATAGCAGTTTGAACTTGTTACAGGAGGCTTTTCAATCGCAATATGCTCATGGGGTAAAAGGTTAAAGAAACATGTGAATAATGCCCTTGTGTCAATGTTAATGTAGTTTGTATCTACTATACAATCAAATTTATTTCAAATCTCAAAAAAGAACAATAATGAAAGTTGTTTATTGCTATTTTTTTCTTCTTTTCCTTTACTGTTAATCATGCCAAGATAAAAAAAGTCCTAAGACTATGAAAAAAGAAAAGAAGTATATCGAGGAGAAAAAATGATGAAGATAAACACAACTGAACTTCAATTTAGCATATTGTGTTTTATATCTATTTGAAAGACCCTGTGTTAGGATATATCTGCACGCATGCACAATTTGTATATATATTTCTTATTAGATGAACGGGTATAATTGCCTTAATATTGCTAATTATTTAAAAAAAAAAAGATAAGTTATTCCTCGCTAAAAATATGCATGCCACATTATTGACACAAAAGTTTGCAACCAAAAATGCTTGAAGTATAAGTCTGCAACCAAAATGTGCTTGAACAATATATTTTTGTGTATTGAATGTTATCTTCGGACTTGCGAACTAAACCATTTGTACAGCATTGACAGAAACATATTTTGTTATTGTTAAATGCAGTTCAAAACTTACAAATTTGAATAAATTAGGAGAAAAACCGACCAGAACAGTCACATGTCAAATTTCAAAATATCTACATGATCAGTTTATATCTTCAATAACTTCGTCAAAACAGAATCTAGGATGCTGAAACCTTTAACCGAGTGTGGCATATATATTGCATTATGGAATAGACATACTAATGAACTTCAAAATAACAAAGAAACCCACTTGCCTGGCAAAAATTCGTTCACCCGTTTCAAAAAATCACGCCGTGTTTGCCATTTTGTCAAGTTTGCAACCAATTCGCTCGCTTGAACCAAGTGTGCAACCACTTCACGTCCTGCCCCTTGTAATATGTCTTTGATACCAGTATAGAGTAAGCTCAGTCTTCAAAGCCGTGTAGTCTGATGAACTCTACGCAATTAGTCAATGTCTTTAAAATCAGATCATCGTTTTCGCTCCGTTAATCTTCGCTATATAGCGAAGGGTAGTGGAGCGACAGTTTGGATATTATCTAAATGAGATTGGCAACTAGTAGAGTGACTTTTAGGTTGTCGTCTTGTTATTCCTATTATTTGATAACAGACAGTTAAAAAAGGGAAGGGTGGCAAGAGCTCAGATCAACAATCTCTTAATCGTCATCACCGACTTATGACGAATATCACAATAAAAATTAAATCATAATAGTTTAACAATTGGCATATTTCAGCGGATACTGCATGTCTGAGTGGGACTTGCCGAGCAATAATCAAGCATTGAAGGACTTCAGCTCTCGATCGAGTATGAATAAATCCGATCCATCATACGTACGGTATTATAAATCACCGTCTCACATCAATCAGGTATGATACTTAAACGGAATTTATCTATTATATACACCTGGAAATAAGTTAAGCACACTCGGCATTTTGACTCAATTTTGACATGACTACAACTGTAATTTTAAATTTTATTTGGGCAATGGAACCACCTGTAGTCAACCTGCAACAACTGGAACAAGCTATGCACTAAAAATGGCAAAATTTACCTCAAAATCGCATTAGACGCCATTTACCAAAAATATGCCTTTTATATGAGTTTGCTTAAGTGTTCGGAGTGTAAGGCAGATCTTTACAGAGAATTAGAGGAAAATGACATACATTTAAGGGAATCCAGTGAAGCTGTTTGGGTGACTAAGCTAGAAAGATTCCTTTTGTGATCAAGGTTTTAAACATTGATAAGACTCACATAAAATACGATTTTCAGTTTAACTTAATATTTTCTTGTTCATGTGTCGCATAGCTTTCCCCTTAAGGTGTTCCGGTTGATATTATTTAAGAAATTCAACTTACAAGGATGTTGGACCTGAGTGGTTTTTTTTAAAAGATTATCACTGTTCTTTTTCGTTTTTTAAAGTAAAATAAGATTTTGAATGGTTTGCATTTCACTTTAGTGACGCAATGATAATACTAGTATAACAAATAAAAACGTATTAACAATCATTCGTTAATTCAAAAGTATTTTTCTACAAAACTATCGTCAATACGTTTATATTTTAATACCACAGAAAGGTACTACAATTAATCGCCTCACAATTATAATCTTCTGGATAATGTAACTCTATAATTTAACATCAAAAGTCTCACTGTTTATGTTATTATACTGTTAGCCATATGGACCAATCTTTTCCGGAAGTGGCCACGGAAGAAGTCATCCCATGTACCTACCGGACGGCGGCGAAAATGTGACAAATCTTTTAAACAAACAGTATTATTCTTCAATAGATCCATTTGCTGATGTAAGTGTATACATTTGCACTTGAAAGAAAAGTATTTCTATTTCTTTAAATTATAGATATAATATTATATTCAACAACACAGGACTTTTCACGCCCATGAATACCTTAGGGCAATCATGGTTATTCTTTATAATCCGGAGGGCGTTTATGCGATTACGACAGTACGGCAATGCGATAGTGCGACAGTGCGATGACGAACACACGATAGTGCGATGACCACAATTTGACAATGCAATGGCGACAGTGCGATAACACTATCGCCCTGTCGTCATCGTACTATCGCGTTATCGCATTGTCGCTATCGTTCTATCGCCCTGTCGTCATCGTACTATCGCGTTATCGCATTGTCGCTATCGTTCTATCGTATTGTCGTCATCGCAATGTCGCACTATCGATTTGTCACCCTCAGTATTTTAACGTTTAACCACGATGGCCCTAACGGTATTGTTCAAAAAACGGTCACCGAACAAATTCATGCTAAATCGGTTTTAGCCATTGTAGGTTTGAGCAATTTTACCGAAAAAAATCATTCAGTAGTCAATCATGATATACATTGTACACACTAAAACCCCTACCTAAATTGGGGCTATATTTCATGATTTTTCTTCGATTTATTATGTTCGAAATTTAGCTAAGTTGAAAGGAAAGTTTAACCATTTGACATTCAGTTTACACTTGATTGTTCAAGTGAAACTATTCGAGGTGGATTTCTCTCTGAGGACTTAACAATAGGTTGACATACATTCTTATATCAATGGTACTTTTGTCTTGCCTTCAGTATTCCATTAGACGACCTAACTTCACACCGAGAGCTAGCCACGTTTACAACAGTACATACCTTAATGTAAGTGTTTTCTTTTAACGTTACTAGCTCAACTCTTAAACATATTAATGTAATGATTTTTAGTATTTATCACTGCGTTACTAATGCAGTAAAGGTTATTTGTGCATATTTTTACCTCTTTTTGGTAATTTACGTGGATTGTAAGTGTAGTTTACAATATTAATTACTTTATTTGTTTATTTCACAATATTTTACTTTTTAATACATTTTAAAAATTTTCATGACAATCAAGATGAATCTGGCGGCGTTCTGCTTTAACACAAAAATGAACTATATACAAATGTACATGTGTACCTTCTTTTTGCAGAATTCCTCAGAATCACCAAGGGACAGGCATCAACATTACTTTCCAGAAATAAGCACATCATTATAACAAATAGTGTTATAAGATAATAACGGCCGATTTGAAAAAAAAAAAATCCATACTTTTCCAAGATATTTTTGTAATTTTGTTAATAAAGATAGTTGAAAGAATAATCCGGAGACGAACTATTAATTTAAATATTTATTTTTGACATGTTTCAATCAAACAAAGTGTTTACCGTAGTCTACATAGATATCTACAATTTGATCACTTTATTTTCATATTCAATGTATCAGTGTTCGTATGTGTCAAAATTGTGTTGTTTTCATTTTGTTGAGGACCTCAAAGAAGATTCATAATCGCAATATATTCCTAAAATGAGCTCTCGTTAAATGCACATTAAGTATTCTGAATGTGAAAAATAATTGTCTTTAAAAAAGTAAAAGTTGCAAAATGTAAAAAAATACGAATTTACTATATAATACATGTAAAAGGCAAAAAATCAGAGATATGATAAACGAGTAACATTTTGGAAACTTGTAAAAGCTCACCAAAAAAAGGCTTTTTCAGAGGGAGGGACAAATGTTTTAACCTCTACCCTGCCGGCAGCAAATGAATCTACTCATAAAACTAGTGCAGACCAAGATCAGTCAGCAAAAATATAAATATCGGCATTTTGGGGCTAAATGTGCCTTTAAATAAAGATAAGTAATTCGAATTTGGTTAATGGTACGAGTAATAATAATTTTACCAAATTCATGTGATAATTGTCTACCAATACTTAGTCACGTGATATCTCGAACTATTATCATTGTACATGATGAATACATGTGTAATACTTTTTTAATGATATGTCTTTTTATTTTGTTAAGTTTTGTAGTCCCTGTTTTATAGCTATACATAAAGTAAAGTACTCTGTAGATTAATTAATTAAATGTGATTTAATGTATTTTTATATTGTTTTGTACAAATACATATAAGTCCCTGTTTTATGACTATACATTAAAGGCACATTATGCCTCAGAAATAAATATGTTTTATTCTAAAGAAATGTCAAGTATGTGTTTAACAATGTTTTAATAATGCATTTAAATCATGTAAAATGTTTTACAACTGAAGAAAGTAGCGCTGAACGTTATCATATGTGTCATAAAGGTGGCAAAATGTAAACAAAATAGTATTTTGACTTCCATACAAAATACTAATTCACTATAATTATATCAATTACCAACAGAGCAAAGAAAGAAAAAAATAGTTCATCTATGTGGCAAATTGGTATCTTTTTTTTTTTAAACTGTAACAAAAATGTTTTGAAAAAAAAAGATAACATTTCTGAAGCATAATGGGCCTTTAAGAAAATGTATTGATTACATGTTATTTCTTTTCAATTTTATCATATATACATTATATATACATTATGTTATAATATATTTTTGTTATACAGAGAAAAAAATATGAAATAAACGGTATGATAGAATCAAAATTTTCTTCTTTATATACATGTATACACTATCACTACATGACCAAATTTGTTTATAGCATCATATCTTCAGATTTGTATTAATCTGATTATGAAAATAATTGTTATCAGTAACCCGTCCAAAACATAAAATTTGAATTTCTTAAGCAAGTTATTCTTAGTCCGATTTGTATGGTGGCTGATTTGGAACGCTTTTGTGTGTCGTGTTGCCGCTAGCGAAAGCACGACAAAGCACCAAACGGCGCGTGGTCGGACTTTCGTCCTGTCGCTAACGATACACGCCAAACGCAACGCGCAAAGTGTACCAATTCAGCCACCATAAATTTGAGTTTTTTGTCATATTTCACATTAACAATTATTATTCTGTAAAAATGTAGTGAGCGACTGATCTGCAATTTTGCACACAAGTTACTGGGTTAACCCTACATGTACATCAAATGGAGCATAAATCTCGAAAAGTTATTTCCAGTCCCGCCATAAAAAAAACCTCAGCGGCGATTTTTTTGACAGAATGGCATGTACATTACCAAAAATTGCAGAAATTTCTCAAAATAAAAGGGAATAATAATATTGAGAAGAATTTTATAAACATATCATGAAATATTTCGCCTGGAACATAAATGATGAAATATTTATTTATCTACATACCTGTAATTGCTATTCTTTTTTAATTTTGATTGTTTCAAAGATTTGTTTTAATCATCAAAATGTGCATGTAATTAAAAAAAACAACAGAAAATGTTTTTACCATTTAGTGTTGTGTGATTACTTTTGACACAAATAGAATGTTGACTTAAAAGCTTAAATCTGGACTACTGGTCCCCTTCATAATGTCATTTATTCTGCTATAGGCTAACTCTTGCTCCCTCATCGGCACCGCCCAGACTCAACATGGATGAAACATTTCATTGATAATTATATGTTTCTTAACTTGTTTGATTCGTATGCAAAATAAGTTTCGTAATATAATTTATAGTAATACCTCAGCCTTAAATATTGTAGAAGCACGTGTTATGTGAACCGTATGTGGAATTGAAATAAGTTGTTATATATTTGTTTCTCCCTCTATTGTTTATACTATAATAATTAGACGCGTCTAGTAGATATGCATTTGTCCATACAGCAATGGGGAACATTTAAGACTTGACTTGATTTTGTGTATTTTTCTTTCATTTTTTTTTTTAACAAAATCACACTGTTTTCAAATTTTCTAATAAAAATAGCTTTTCTGATGTACAACATGTCACAGAGCTTTAAGGGATTAGAATAAACGTTTACCTGAAGTGATAGTGCCATGTTTGAAAATCATATTCTTTTTATAATTATCTAATTTTATCTACATAATAAACAACGTGCCAATGAGCCAGTCTACAATCGATCGTTCTAAACCTTAACCGTTGAGGGAGGTAACGACTGAGGCAATGTCACTTACTTCATTTGCCCCGCCTCTGTTGAAGTTCGGCCCGCCAAATTTAACATGATGCTCCGTAACGGGGCGAAAGACAACTTTGATCAATATCACTTGTCGAATCATTAAATTGCAAGTTACAAAGCCTAAACCACGCCCACTATCAAAGAGGCGGTTCTTCTCCCTCAACAGTTGAGAAAGTACACCGGTTACGCTACGGCCAGTATGGTGAGATCACTGCAGAACAGTTCGTCCTCAAAATCATTCGAACATTATGCATTTCGTACCAATATTTAAATGAACATATTCTCGGCACAAATTGTCTTGAATTTATCACATTTATTTTGCTTCGACCAGACGTTTCAATCTTTGTCGCAACAGACAAACATTAAAGAATTTCAGACATGGCATTACTTTGTGAATTTATGCATTAGGTTCTACTTTTTCACAAAAATATGCAACTTAATTATTAAACAACGAGCACATACCAAAAACATGGAGAAAAAATTGATTTGTACTTCGGATATTCAACTGTAATAGAGAACGATTTTCAATGCTGATTGATTGTTCGCATCATTTGGCGTCTTTGATGTGCAGCATCAACATTTAACTTGTAATATCTGTTATATGTTGCGGATCGGATGGGAATATCCGTCCCAAGAGAACCCAGTCATGTCATTACATCTATTTTCTCATAACAGCCTATGAAAGTAAAACAACTTCTTTCATAAAGCAAAATTACGTCATCCTAAGAGTGTATTGCACGCGACTTATCTGGCACACCTAAGCCAGATGAATTAACATTTGTTACCTGTTTTATTTTAGTTTTAAGTATAAGTAATATTATTTGTAACGTATGTGCTTTAGAAATATATCACCTTTATGAAAAATTAGTTTCATTAGATGGATAGATAGATGGATGGATGGATGGATGGATTGATGAATGGATGAATGGGTGGATGGATGGATCGATCGATCGAGCGATCGAGCGATGGATTGAATACATATGCATGGACAACTAAAAACAGCATGTATGGTACAAACATTTAAAACTTACATGGGAATAATTAAGTCATGACATGTACACCTGCACCACTTGGGGATAACACAAAGAGCGACCGTTCTTAATTGAAAGCCTGTAAAATTAGTGTAGTTTATACCTATTTATTTTAAGTTCGATTGTGTTAGAAGCTATATGCTTATTGAAACACCCTGGAATAAAGCAGTCCTAAGCAATGAGTGTAAAGTTTTTTTGCTCACGGAAACAGCGACTTGCCCCTGACGGGGTTTGAACCCACGCGGTCAGCAATCCTTAAATTAATAGTTCGGCGCGTTAGCCCCGCGACCACGCCGCCACTCAAGCCTGTAACATTTTCAAAAGGCAAATAATTTGACTCCTAATAATGAAGTACTATGTATACAACACGAAACCCCTTTATCTTCATTTACATGTACTTCAAACTTGAACTACTGAAAACTTAAACTATTTTAAACAAATCATGGATTTTTCTCAATCTGAATAAAATTATCTCTAAATAACGCTCCTCTTCTAGATCTAACAGTGACCAATTACGAAGTTATTTCTGGTGATTTTCACTCAGCCAATCATCGGCGAGCTTTCATAATTTTGAAAGGGATGCGGTCCCTGGGAGAACCAATACGGAGTAGAATTGTCACGATTTCGAGAACAAACTTGCCGTTGTCCATAAAGCCGACACGTAAACTGGCAAAACAATCTTGCCAATTAAAAATTGACTCTATTATTTCAACTTAATTTGTTAAAAATTACTTCAAACAAAAATCAACAATTTGTTTAACTTCCACGTATAACGGTACTTTTGATACTTTTTCTAATGCCTATGTGAAAACCGGTTTGATTTCATGACTAAAAATAGCTTTCTCGGGAAATCCGAATTATAAAGGAGGCGAAACATATACGGCACCCAGATCTACAACACAGAAATAGCTAGATCTGAACTTTAGTCAGATTGGGATTTTTCAAAAGCTGTCACATTAAACCTGCTCAAAGTGTGTATAGGCAATGGAGAAGCGAGTCCAAAAATACCTGAGAGTTTCTCCAGACGTTTTAAGTAATTGATTGTTTCTATAATGAAGTAATATCTCTATCACTGCAATAATATGTTATCACTTGCGCCGGTAATACGGTGTGGTCTGCTGTTTCCGACTTTTTGTGACTGATTACAAAATACTAATAAAATATCTACGTTAAAACATTTTGGTCTATAAAGATACCTGCCAGGGGATGGGGCAAGACCTGAATCGGTGGCTGCACTTTAGAATTGTCTCTCGGATCTTTGTAGGAGAAGAATATTTGAGCCGCGCCATGACAAAACCAACATAGTGCGTTTGCAACCAGCATGGATCCAGACCAGCCTGCGCATCCGCGCAGTCTGACCAGGATCCATGCTGTTCCCTTACAAACCCTATAACAAGTAGAGAAACTGACAGCGAACAGCATGGATCCTGATCAGACTGCGCGGATCCATGCTGGTCGCAAAGCCATTATGTTGGTTTTGTCGTGACGCGGCTCATTTATTTGTTCTATAGCCCTAAGAAGGGCCATTGACAAAGCATCAATATAATTATATACAAAAAGACGCATGATGGTAATAGGTGACAAAAAGTCGAGATGGGATTTGTATTCACGCGAAACAAATTCTTTAGTAAAAACGCGAAAGAAGACTTTGAACTGGACAACGTTTAGAGTCTTTATGTTTATTGAATTGTTACATATTTTTAAAAGATTTTAAGCGATTTTATTTCTAATTGCCACAATAATGTTAAATCGATATCTAAATTACATTTATGCGTACAAAGTATACACACCGAAGTCTGTTATCATTGTAGATTCGTTTTCAGTTATTGTCAATCTGATAACCTCGGGTTTTATGGTATGTATATGCGGATGTTTTAAGTTGTGTTTAACTTCTTAACGTTTACACGCTTGATAAGCAGTTGTTTACATATATCATTATATGGTGACCTTCACAATTGTATGATACCGGAAATGGATACATGAGGTAGGGATTTGTTTTCTATGTTTTAGACATGTTACATGCAGTGTCATAATTATGATGAATGAACTTTAAATGTTTAATCAGAGAGTGACAATTGTTTAAATAGAGGTAAATATTTCACTTCTGCTTACTTTTTATCAATATTAGAAGGTAAGTGGTTTCACGTCATTCAGTATATTTTTAAAAAGTGCTTACGGAGTCATTGATATAAATAAATAAATTAATTAAAACTTTTTGTCTTAAATATGAGAAAGACTAAAAATCTAAAAAGACTAAATACCGTACTCCGGTATATACCGGACAAGGCGCTGCTAAAATCTCGACTTTTCACCCACCGAAACGCACTTTAAGACGTCAAAAATATTTTCACACCGCTTTATGTACGATCATGAATAAAAAATGTAAGCGATATTTTTCTACTTTGTGATCATGGTTTCTGCAAGCGACCAGAGGTACTGCTTCAACACATAGTAAAATTGTATCCCTTAAATATGGTGGCTGATTTGTGCCATTCGTGTTTTCGCCCCGCGACCCCGCCAAGCGAAAAGTCGAAAATTAACAAGTAAAAATAGCGGGGGGGGGGGAAGGGGGGAGGGGGGGGGGCAGCGAAAACACGCTAATTAGCGAGGGCCCCTAAAAAACTACTGTTTAATTCAAGCAATTACATACACTTATTTTGAGCGGACAAACATGTAGAAAGTGATATGGACGGACAGACGGAAGGACGGACAGACAGAGGCCATTCCTATCATTAGCTCGTGCTTTGTGGAAGGGTAAAATAGCACACGGGGTCATAATGGTGATTATTTCTGCCATGTAATCTTAAAAACATTGCAGTGGTTTAAATGTTATAGAGCGGATGCGAAATGCTTTTTAACACTTGGCCTTTAAGTGTGACCTTGGTGGTAGCAATCTGCATATCGTCTCATAATGGTGATCACTTGTGTGTCAAGTTATTTAAAAAAATATATCAGCGGTTAAAAAGTTATGGGGCGGACTCAAAGGTGTTACGGACGGACAGACGAACGGGCAGACAGTCGGGCGTTGATATTCACCCCATAATACGGACAGACTGATGGACTGACAGACGGAGGGGTTTAAAAATGGCGGTCGTGATAGAGACTAATATGTCCTGCTTTATAGTGTATATAACAGAATTTGTTCGGCCTGATGTAACTCTTTCATCTTTTTAAAACGTTCATTTTAATTATTAAAAAAAAGCGAGCATTTATATTTTTGTTTAAGATAAATAATATCATCGCCATTTAACGTTGATTTCGAACCTATTTTTAAGCTTAAGACTTCTTATATTATTGAGAAATTCGTCTGAAATTGAGGATAATATTGTGGAAATTTCATTCAACTTGTTTTTAAGCATAAAATAAAAAGAAAATTTGTTTGTTGTTTGTGTAAGATGCAATTTTATTTCATCTCGTGCATTTCAAACACAGTATTCTCACTAGTGACGTAATATCCTCTATATAGTTTTTGCAATAAATGTAACTATATGATATTGTTTATAATGTTATTATCCAAAATATATGATCCTAGACCGCTAAATTCATTTTATATGTGTTCCAATACCGCTAAATTTATTTATATGTTTTATGATCCATGATTGCTCTATTCGTAATTATATTATTTAATATCGCTATATTAACAAATCATTCAAAATGCTGTAGAAATGTCCTTGATTCTGGATTGAAATTTGCTTTCACTATTACAAATTATTATGAAAAGTCTTGTTCAAAGCTAGAGATACCTAGACAACTATATAAACTGACTTTCTTCAGATATGCAAGCATAGATAGCTGACAAAGTCCACTTAAAATACGATATGGCGACATCAAAGAAAGAAGATAGTATGGAGGAGAAAGAAGTAGTGAGTCTGAAAAAGAAAGGAGTTAATCTCGGAAAGAAACTTAAGAAAATGAATATAAGCCAAACGCAAAGCGGAATGTTGATCACAGATCAAAGCGGCAGTCGCCTGGGAATTGATGCTGAAGATAAACTTAGTGGTCATCAGATAAGCGAAACCGAAGAGCCTAGCAAAGGAAGTTCTGAAAGGGACTTGCAAAGACAGATGAACATGGCGTTCCTTAGAGATCTTGATAACGACATTGCTGGTTCCTACTTGGAACAAGTTAGTATTGACGAAGCGGATGATATGTTTAAATCTCTTGATTGTGAAACAGAAGGGGATATAGAATTTGAACAAACCACACATTCTGATGATAAAAGACGACTTTATTTTGGGAGAGCCTCTTATAGAAATGTATATGGCAATCCTAAAAGGCAGGAGGATAAAAATTGGATAACCTGGGAAACATTCTCGGCAATATCCGGTATGGAAGTATCCGAGTTAGTTCGTCGAGCTGAAGTTTCCGATCTTGTGTTAGATGACAGAGGTCTAGCAAGAATACGGAGTAAGTGTTTGTATCTTTTTAAATCTTTAACGCGTGTATTATTATTTGCCGGGTTTTCCGTTTCCATGAGTTTCTATTTTTAACACATTATAATTTGAAGAGACCCGCTATTTTAGATAGAAATTAAGACATATTATCTTCAAGGCTTTCACTGTTTAACGTCAAGTTATAAGCCACCATTGCTCATTATAGATATCCTTAAAATAAGTTCATGTTAAAGTGAATTGGTTCGTAATGGGATGTTAATAGAGTGGTTATACATGTTTTATTGTTGTTGTTGTTGTTGTTGTTGTTGTTGTTGTTTCTGTGTTGCTGTTGTTATTGCTGCTGCTGCTGTTGTTGTTGTTGTTGTTGTTGTTGTTGTTGTTGTTGTTGTTGTTGTTGTAGTGGTTGTTGTTGATGTTGATGATGATGTTGATGTTGTATTTTTATATGTTGTATTTTTATTATTTATTTTTTAATTTGTTTTATCTTTTCTTTTTTTTTTTTCTTTTTTTTTTTGGGGGGGGGGGGAGGGGGGAGGGGTGCTGTTGTTTTTTTACATTAACATCTGCAGAAGCACAACAAGACAGATTCAAAGCCTCTTGCCATTTATTTTCCAATAAATATTTTAAAAGAATATCCATATATTTGGAATATGTGTGTAAAATGTTCCCATTGTAGACCAATCCACTTTTGATGCACACTTCCTGCCACATATCAAAGTGCTTAATAAATACAAATGTGTACATTTGATCTGAAAACAATTAAAAATGTAGTATCAAAGCTTCTGATTAAATTCGTTAAAACTTTTAAAGGTACTCGACCAAACCTCTCTTCCCTCTCCAAAATAATGTAATGTTTTGTTACATGTATTTGCAATTACCACTCTGATATATTGTGGGAAAATCTACATGCCTGTTTTATCCATTGCAAAACAGTTTGAAATTCTTTCAATTTATAAGAAGCAACGATAAAAGTAACATTTTTTTTTCATTTTAGAACGATTCGCGTTATTCTTTTATTCAATGAGAAGCAAAAGTAAAGGTGACAATGAAGCTCTGGTGTTGTTGTTGTTGTTATTAATGTTGTTTTTGTTTTTATTTCAGAAAGGTTCACAGCAATGCCAAAGATGTACAAACGACAGTTCTATAGGTGCGAAGATCGCTATATTATACCAGAACAAATACCAAACTGGAGTGATCAGTGCAAGAAATCAAATTTACAAAGTAAGTTATTCAATCAAACGAAAATAGAGCTGAATGTGAAATAATTTTTGACAGAGGTATCAAAATTTATACCAAGTGTTATTATGACTTGTGTATAAGGTCATCTACAAGTATAAAATAAGTGAACACGTGAAAGTCAGGATAGGAATATTGTGATGTTACCTTTCAATATCATAATTACCTTTGCATGAACGATAATAAACTCACACGGACCAAGGAAACTTTTAATATCCATTGAAATTTACCTGTTATATTCAATTTATAAAAGCGGGACAGTTTTTTATACTTCTGGAAGATTCATATTTCATCCAAAACATTTTCAAATTATATTAATTGTTGGTGAATCACCAATAAAACAGTCAATCGCTTGAAATATATACAAAATAATCGCATACCTACCCTGAAAATCACCATTCACCATTTAAACGCGCCGCGTTTTGAAGGTGAGAACCAGTCTGGCTATAGTCGGAGCCATTCGGTAATATGTTGGTTCCCAAATTCAAAGCGCGGCGCATTTGAATACGGCAATGTTGGGAGCAATTTTGAATTTGTCGATGGGGTAAAACCGCGATAATGTTTATTTCGCCTGTTGCGTTGTTTATTTTGATGTTGAAGTTTAAAATTGACCATCATCGTGGAGAATAATACCTTCTGTGTCGATGGACAAAAGGACTATGTGAAAGAAATGGAATTTGAATAAAATACATGGTTGTTTTGAGGGTAGGAGTGCGGATATTTTCCGGCGAACATTTTCATCTTGTATTATTATAGACTAAAAAATTCAAAAACGGCTTAAGTATTTTGATATATATGATACGTACATGTGCGGGGATTGACAAATATACATTTTATTTGGAATGTAAATGCGTTTTGAGCTCAACACCCCAGTGGTCTGTGATATTTAATTGTTGTTATCAAACAGTGTATAGGAACATTGATTTAAATGGTATTCATCATTCTTGCAAGTGTGACCCTTTGACAAGATTAATTGTGTCTATTCTAGGAAGGGGGGGGGGGGATTCACTCATATTTTTGGGAATTCCCCTGGCAGGTGGGGGGATGGGATTTACGAATTCTCACCTTTAGATAAAAATCCCCCCTGTTTTTCGAATCCTAGAATAGACACTGTTTATTATTCTGTAATAACTTACTTATATGTACTTAGTTTTATTTCCTTACATCAAGTTTCTATTTTTAGCCAGTGACCTTGGCGATGATTCATTAAACCAGAAGGTAGCCTTAATGCATGGTGATATCACTACACTTGAAGTAGACGTTGTTGTTAATTATATTTCATCCTACGTGACGGATACACACGATGGAGGTTATAAGCTATATGAGCCGCGTCATGACAAAACCAACATAATGGGTTTGCGACCAGCATGGATCCAGACCAGCCTGCGCATCCGCGCAGTCTGATCAGGATCCATGCTGTTCGCTATCAGTTTCTCTACTTGTAATAGAGTTGGTAAGCGAACAGCATGGATCCTGATCAGACTGTGCGGATGCGCAGGCTGGTCTGGATCCATGCTGGTCGCAAACCCATTATGTTGGTTTTGTCATGACGCGGCTCATATCATGTTTTACTTTAAAGTGGATTGGTCTGAAATCGGAACATTTTCCATATGAATTTCAAATATTGATAAAAACAATGAAAATGTATTATTTTGGATATTCTTATAAAAAATCTTGGGAAAATGCTAAGGGTTCTAAGTTATATTACAATGTAAGTATGAACAGTTTTATGTTGAGATTTGTTTTTGTTCTGGAACAATTTATTATCTACTTTTGTATAATTATGTATTTCATACAAGCATTTTGGAAGGTTTTATTTAATGCAAAAAATGAGTTTTTCAGCAGATATATAGTTTTAAACACTTCAAGACATAGTACTCATAAAATACCACTTTTCACAGAATACACTTTCACTTTGCTTTTAGAAAGGCAAATGTTTTAATTTATATTTCTTTTTAACAGTTTCAAAAGCCATAGTGAATGCAGCAAGTTCTCTCTTGCTTTATGAACTGGAATCCATATGGTTAATTTATAGTGGGAATGTCGAGGCAACAGCAGGTGAGGAACAATTCCGAGCTATTATAAATTTAAGGCGGTGCTAGGGGGCATGGACGGTGACTTGCATTTTCCACTGCCAGCTATGATAAGACTTAATTAAATCGAGCCTCTAACATCTTCATTTATGCCGTTTTGAGCGTCATTTTAGAGGGCAAAATGTGTTTTAAAATATTAGAAATTCAATAAACATATACGTTCGCATACTATGAGCCTTTAGAAAAAAACATGTAATTAAAACTGGTACTCACTTTATAAAATTCATTTATTGGTCTGAATTATCATTTTTGTATATTTGTGCAAGTGTATATTGTTAAATAACGAATATAAGCTGTACTTGTTTCGTTCAAAATAAAATATATGATATGTTCTGTGTAAAAGCTATTTTATTACAATTCTTCTGAAAATAATTGATTAAAGAGGCGACAATATTATTACGCAAGACTACGAACAAATAAAAAATTAAAAGAAATGTCGTAAAAGCTTAACATTTCATTTTTCTTTTCAGGATATTTGCTTCCAGCCAAATGTAAGTCCACATGAATTCATAAACTACATTAAAACTTGTTTATTGGTCACTCCCCCTCTCTCCAGCCCCACCCCCTCTCTCTTGTCATCGAGTGAAAAGTATAATATGATAATATGATAATAATATGAAATTGTTTATTATTTTAACCTTTTCTTATAAATATGTCACTGTTGGTATTATATAGAGACAAAGAAAAACAGAAAAAAAATAACGTTTCTATTTTATATTATCATTATAATAAATACGAACATTTAGGAATCACAATGTACCATACAGCATTTTGGTTTCTATTTTTATTATCATTTTAATTACAAATGTAATACGATCAATAAGTTATTACCATACAGACTGCTTTATATTAAAATGTATCATTTTCGTATATTTTAGATATATTTCATACATCGGGACCAATCAAATACGATGACCTTTATGTTGATAAGTGTTTACACAGTTGTTACATAAATTCTCTGGACAAAATGATTCAGATGGGACTCCGGACTTTGGTAATCACTACAATGTCATATCACTTTTTAAAAAAAAAACATTACATGAGCCGCGTCATGACAAAACCAACATAGTGCGTTTGCGACCAGCGATCCAGACCATCCGCGCAGTCTGATCAGGATCCATGCTGTCCGCTTACAAACTCTATAACAAGTAGAGAAACTGGTAGCGAACAGCATGGATCCTGATCAGACTGCGCGGATGCGCAGGCTGGTCTGGATCTATGCTGGTCGCAAACCCATTATGTTGGTTTTTTCGTGTCGCGGCTCACGTGTATTTCATTCTTTTTATTTGATATTTTCTTAGTTTAAACAATATTTTATTTATAATATATATATACATTTACATAATAAGATACATAAAATAAAATTCACGGATTAAGTAGGAAGGAAGCTTGAAAACTTTTTTGTCTTAATTTCATGTCTACGACTTCAGTTTATTTTCCATCGAGCGCATCAGTCGCGTTAAAGTCGGTGCTTTTAGAAACAAACACTTAGAAACTTTAATTTTTCATATTAAAAGCCTCTTTTTTTATCAGCCTGCTTTATTTAATGGCCAAGTCATCCATAGCTTAAAATGTTTGTCGTGTTTGGCGTTCTTTAAGGTTTTCGTGTTTTGTCGTTTCAGGCGTTTCCGTGCATAGCAACTGGTGCTAAACGTATGTATCACATTATATGATTCATTAGGTTTCTTATATTTGTTTTGTTCCTACGTATACTCAAAATTCTAATTCTAAATTCGTTTATAAGGGCTTAAGAGTAAAAATGCGCTGAAAAATGTCAATACAATAAGCGCTTAAGAGTAAAACTGTGCAAAAAAATGCCAGTACGTTTGATTTTTTAATAAACGCTTGAGTAAAATTGCGCAGAAAATGCCAGTGCAGTTTAATTTTTCAATTGAATTTCAAAATCTCTCTCTTTT